CTGCCACAGGTTTTCTTACAACTGAAGAGCATGCTTGTATTTTTTGTGGTAAAATGCATGATAGTAAAAATTGTTACGATGCATGTTCATTATCTCTTACTGAAAGGATTTCTAAAGTTAAAGAGGAAAAAACGTTGTTTAAAATGCTTGGAACCAAATCATACGGAAAAGTTCTGTAAACAGTTTGTTAGGTGTTTTTGCTTGTGGTAAATCACGCTCAGTTATTTTGTGTCCGGAAATTAATAATGAAACTGAACCTCCAACAGAAAAATCAGAAATAGACAACATACACACGGCTACAGTCAGGCAAAGTTGTACCGTTGACATAGCTTTAACGACTTTATGCGTAAGAGTAGCTAGTGTCAAAAATCATAAAGATGTTAGAGTACTCTTAGATTGTGGTTCCCAGAAATCGTACATTTTGAAATCATTAGCCGCCGAATTGGGGTCACCTATTGTCTCCAAAGAAAATGTTACTCTTACTTTATTTGGAAATGCCAGAACAGAACCAAAGTTGCATAACAAATATCGGGTAAATTTATGTTCAGACAGTCCGCGTAAGTATTCAGATCTAGAATTTGAAATTTTTAGATCAAGACATAATATGTAAGGATATACCTCGGGTACCCAAGGATCCGATATTAAAAGAATTAAAACGAAACAACATTTGGTTGTCGGATTTGGAAGCAGATTGTCCAAAAATAGAAATGCTCATCGGTAATGATATTTATGGAAAAATTCTCACGAGATCAGTAAAACAATTAAAAGGAGGACTAGCAGCAGTTTGTGCGAAACTTGGTTGGACAGTTTGGTGGTGCATCGGATGAATTTGTTAATCACAAAGATAAAGATGCTTCCATTTAGTCTGTAACTTTAGTAAGGCCACGACTTTAAAATCTTCGATCTTTGGAGCTTAGAAACGATCGGAATATTAGACGTTCATCAGAATTCAACTAACGCTGCTGAGGAAGAAATTGCCCCGAACGATTTTTAAACTCTCTTTCCAGAAACGAAGATAGTCGTTATTGTGTCGGATTACTTTGGTTAATATATAACGCAGAACTGCCCTCAAATCGTCATGTAGCAGAAAAAAGATTGTTTAGTGTTACCCAAAAACTCAAGTCTTTACATAAATATGAAGAATATGATAGAATTTTTAATGAATGGATGAAGGAGGGTGTAATTGACATAGTACCAGACGATGAACTGAATTCTAAGGGGCACTATTTACCGCATCACCCAGTATTTAGCCTTTTAACTGTCATGCCCGAGATAATCTCGGGCACAGCACTGGTGTTCGAAAATGTCACGCCCGAGCATTACTCGGGGTAATTTTTTTTTGAGTGCATCGTATTGTTATACCCGAATATATATCGGGAGACGTTTATTTCGGCTTCATCTCTTTGTCAAACCCGACTGTATCTCGGGAAAAGTTAATGTGCGCTCAGTTCAATAGATGACAGCACTTTACTGAAGATTTCAAAGGTTAGAGGTTATAAGTTCTTTGGTTCAAATTGCATGGGATCTTTTTGTTGTAAAATGGCGTCCAGTTCTTTGAAACGTTATATAGATAATTTAGATCTTCAACCGAAGATGAAGGATGTGTGTTTAATGAGCAGTATTTATGATACTTCCATGATCAGCCTCAAAAATTTAAAAAAAAGAAAAAAATGGAAGATATACTCAAGCCAAAGATTGTTTCTAACTACAAGTCTAAGTATGGGTGGTGTAGATCACCTGTGATCAAGGAACTATCCTTTCATCCAACAATCCTAAAAGTGTCAGAAAAAATATTATAAAAATATATTTTTACATTTACTAGACAAGGTACTTTGGATTTGCTCTGGAACTCATTTTTGCTCTATAAAAAATGTAGTTGGGAAACATATTACATTTTCTAGAATTTCGAATCCAAGTTGTAGAAGAACTTTTACATAAATATGATGATGCAGCTTCTGGAACAAAGAATGGTGGGGCAGACCACCTATAATAGATAACCCTGCCCGTCTTACTGAACGACATTTCATATCCCATATTCCTCCTACTCCTGCGAAACGTGCGCCTACAAGACAGTGCAAAGTGTGTTGTTCGAAAAAGGATAAAAATGAGGAAAAGATAAGGAAGGAATCACGATTCTGGTGTAGTGATTGTGGAGTTGGTTTGTGCTTGGAAAAGTGTTTCCAGTTGTACCACACAAGACTGAATTACTGAACTACTAATAGGTATTCACTTATATTTATTTCGTTTTTAGAAAATAATAAATTTTTTTCATTTTTAGAAAATAATGTTCCACTAGAAGCGAACTTTATAACTGCCATGTTGAGTGGCAGCCGCCTCAAGCAAATATGCAGCGGCTACAAAACTTTAAAATTTTACCCATGTACGTCAAAATATCAATTTTTAACTACTTAAGTATATTTTATTTTGTACTAAACATTTGGTTTTTGCAATAAAAAAATTTGACAATTTGTGTACCCAAATCATCAAAATAACTTGACAGTTAAAGGGTTAAACTCGCTACTTCTAATATTTCCAGTTATGAGTTCACCTATCATTATCTCTAATCGCTGATCTGACTCATTCCGAACTTTTTGTTTCGACAGAAAACAGGTGTAAATATTTTGAACTGCTCTGATAATTGCATCATCTGCGCTCTTAGCAGTTCTTTCTGATTGTGAACAATCGACGTTAACCGTTTGTGCATATATATAAAAAATACCTTAAAAAATCTCGAAAGGTCTCAGATTTTAATTAATGGTCGCCCAAAAGGGTTGAGGATCTTTACGCTTTCGCTGAGCTTGCAGTTGACCAGTCTGCTTTTACACTCACCCCATTTATTTTTGACCTTTTAGCTTTATTATTAAGCATCATTTTCTTCGCACTTATGCCATATACAATTCAACTACAAAATTACAAAGTATATTCACAGATAACGTATTCATTCATTATTATTATATAAACGTAATAATTATTGATGAAAAAAATTATGCAAAATTCACACTTTAGACTTGCATTATTTTTTATTATTCACTGCTGAATCTGTAATAATATATTCTGTACAACATCTGCCTGCCATGCCGACTCTCTGAATTCCTGAATTTTGCTCTTGAAGCGCAGATGATGCACATAACTAACCAATTTTTCTGGTTTAAAGGAGTATTAAAAAATTGCAAGAATGAAGAACTAATGCTTATAAATTAAATACAATGTTAGTTACACCAGTTTTCCACAAGAATGCAGTTAATACTTAATATAAGAAAGTTAAAAGGGAATTAAAATTTGTTTCTAATAATGAAAACTGGCTCAAAATGTACAAAAAATTGGGTATATTTTAATGAGTGAATTACAGTCAAGTATTATAATCAATGGCTTGAGTGAGCTAATAGTTTTCTTAAATGTCAGAGCTATAAACGTTGCTGTACACTATTGACATTGCTAAAACCTTGTTCTGCAATTTGAGACTCGAAGAAGTAGTAAGTATGTGAAACAATATGGATCACAGTAAAAAAAAAATTATGGAAGAAAGAAAATATATATGCATGTACTCAAAGTTGGCTTAGGAAGGACTAAAAATAACACACATGCTCAAAATCACTGTAAAACTAGTTTTCCAGCAATCTTTGCATCTGATCAGCATGAAATATCAGAATTCTCACCTTACAGGGGTAACTACAAACCCATTTAATATCTAGGTTAAGCAGTGTTCAAGGATATTCTTACATTCTTATATTATTACCCATATAATTAAATGAACTTTCAACAATTCCACGTCTACAGTTCAACAGTTCAATATTTCTATAGCCTCAACTTATCTCTGACTTCTGTTAGAAATGTAAAAGTTTTAAATTTATGTAATCTCTTAATGGCATATTTTTTCTTAAAAAAATTGAGAATTAATGAGTCTACATTACACAAACTCGGAAATTCTGCATTTGAGAATGTTGAAAATCCAGAATTCCACCTATATCCAGGCTTCCACCTATATCCTACTTTTAGGAGAGAAATAAATGAGAAGAGGATGAAAGGTCTTAAGTTAACTAATATGCTTTGCTTATGCTAAAAATCTGCCTTATACGCCTACCTTTCAACAAACAAAAATCCCTTTTTACATCCTTGTGTGAAGTAAGTAGTGTAATCTCGAAAAATTTCGGATTTCATATCTCAATGAAGATATCCATTTTGACCGCTCGAGTCCATCTGAGTGGTTGTATTCGCATGACATCTGTACATATGAAGAGAATGAAAGGCTCATTTTTCCAAAACAAATTGTAAAATGGATTCAGAAGAGATTTTTTTGTAATGTCAGTATGTACATCTCCCTTTTTTGTTGCAATCGGCTGCACCAAACATATATGAATATATATATTCCCACACTGTTACCCAGCTCAATGAGGTCACATTTTTTTATTCTTACACGCTGGTAAACTGTGCATTGTTTGCTTAAAAGTGATCAGATTATGTTGTTCTTATGTTCTAATTAAGGTTTTTATGGCTTTAGTTAATCTGCATCATGCAATAGTCGTAGAATTATCATCAATTTTAAAATGGCACTCAGCCCAAGGAGGCCACCATTTGTTTACATTTGAAACTCTTAGTAGAATAAAGAATTCAGTTGGTGCATCAACTTAAGTGTCTTTTAGCCCAATGAGATCAAAACATAAATTTTGATTTTGTGCACTGAAAATGTTGTTTTCCTGCCCGCTAACTGAGTTGCTTGTTTTTGCATAGAAACTCTTCTAATTTCAATTGTTTATTTAACTGTTTTTAACTGCACTGGTGCTTTAGTTTTTTCTGTATTTTACAATTAATGAAGATGTCTTGAAGTTTTATGTACTTTTGCACTGCCACGAAGGGAAAACTGAATTCATTGAAGGAGAAACATAAAATGAATTCTAATGAAATTCAAGTAATAATTTTAAATGAAGCAAAGCAAAAAAAAAAAAAAAAGCGTATAATTTAATAGCTTATACAAGGAAGGTATTGTCCACATCAGACCTCTCTCTTTTATTTTCTTTCTTTCAGACATAAAATTGTTATTTTTCACTCTTATAAGTGGAAATTACTACTAAGCTTCATAGAACAGAACTTAATGGTTTACATTCAGCAGCAAACAGGGTTTAAGAAATATACTATGTTTCTTGAGAGAATATGATATAGGTCTCTCAAGTAAAAATTTCCATATAATCAAAACAATCTAAGGCCAAATTTTGTCTATTTTAAAAACTGAAGCTTTTCAGCTTCTCATAAACGTCTCCGGAAAGTTAAACTGTAAACCAAAATTAGTATCAAACAAATCAGCTATTAGGCATATCAGATACCTGACATCCAGTTTCATCAAAATAATCATGAATAGCTCTTGCCATGACAGTCCCAACAGGTAATGTAGCATTCACTGTTTCTTTGCCCGTAGATGTCTTTATAAAATCAGCTCCTAAAAATGCAAGTAATTACAATTTGACACATACAACATTAGCTTCATAATGTTAGTTGACAATCTATTCATTATATCTAGCTAAACATGCTCAACATGTAAAAATAAAAGCTGAGAGCAGACTTCCAGTCTTAAAGCAACTTAGCTGGCTGCAAATATCACTGCTTATATTACAGTCAAAAGTCGTTAATCCGGAATAATCTATAATCCGGACCTCAAAGCTACAAACTTTCTGCACATGTGTCAACGCATAATGCGTTCACGCATGCACATATGCGTTGACGCATGCGCGTAATATCTTTACACATGCGCATATGCGTGTACGTCGCGTTTAATGTATAACGGACGGTATAAGCTAAGCTAAAATTATCTATTTCAGTTAATATTGCAGATTGCGTTGTTCCTTAATCTTTGAATTGGATCCGGCTTATTATTTTTTGTAGACTGTTAGAGCAATTTTATAAAAGTAAGCTTGAACTTTCGATTATGTCAAATAGAATTTCCGATGCTGGATACTGCCAAAGGATCTACAAAGCGAAAGAATGTTTCGATGTCCATCAAACAAAAAGTGGAATTGCTGCAAAAAAATGGATAAAGGCATATCTTTTGTTTCTCTAACCATTCCGAAATCTGTTTATCAATTTCACGCTGCTCTGCGGGGGAAGGGAACATCGCAGCGCACAATGAACTGAAAGTTGATCTGTCAGCACTATCTTATCTTCAGGGCAGATGTTTTTATTTTATTCGGATTATAGTTCATTACTAAATGTAGTATTTCATCTCGATGTACTCTGTCTCTGATATGATTTAAATCAAATTCATTATAAATATCACGAATACACATCAAATAGAGTTTTCTGGTTGCAATTTTCGGATTATTCCTAGTATCCGGTGCACACGGGATTTGGCTACTTTTGGCGACTTTTATGATGAGCAGTAAAAACGGGGCATATACGATGAGTAGTAAACGGGTCATTCAAAGAATACATATAGTTATACGTATTATATATTATGTATATAGTGATAGTATATAGTGTATAGTATATGCACAGACGTTCTTTGGGTCATTTTTGGTGTTGGCGATAATTTTCAAAATCGCGCCATGGCTGCACCGTATACTAGGATTTTACCCAATTTTCTAATTTTGACTATGCGTAATGTATGCTTTACGCATGCGCGCGTGTAAAGAAATGTTTAATAAAGTAAACAAATAAATATTATACTTTTTTTATAAATTTTGATACCCTTTAGATCATAATTGTTCTTTATTTCATAAATTACAGTTTCATATTTTTAATTTTATAATTTCTGCATGCCATCTTACCAGATTTAAACTGATGATCTATAATCCGGAAAAATCAATAATCCGGAATCGCCGAAGTCCCGACGAGACCAGATTAAAGACTTTTGACTGTATTATGTTGCATATAAGTATTTTATATATATGCAGGAATATCACTGAATTTTTTAATCCAGTTATATATTTTTTTAACTGAAAAATTAACATCTGAGCAAATTTTCTCTCACAATGGAATTTTTGGGGTTTTCTATCAATTCACAAAAAGTTGAAATAAACAGTTCTGTCTAATTTCTTGCAACTATTTATATCAAACAACCTGCTTCAGATACTCATGGAAGCATTATAAATGTACAAGGAAGTTGGATGGTTAGGTGTGTTTGTAAATCAAGTTAAACTGTTTATTTTGCATACAAAATGGCCAAATGTGAAAGCAAATTTTTTGATGAACTTAAAATGAAGTACATCTGTTTCTCAAATGGTAGAAACAAATTTAGATAAAATATACTGTCTACAGTGGCACTTATGTCTCAGTGGCAAAAGAAAGCATTTAGAGGATCATGATTGTAAAACACAAGAAAAATGTTCAAGGGTCACAGAAATTTGTGTAAGCTTTCTTTGTGTAAGATGAGTTCATGAAGTTCGTGCAGCTGAAGAGACATTAACGTTCCATACTGTAAGGCACCACCAGAGTTGTACATCGAATTTTTGCACAAAAAAGCTCAAGGAAAAATATTTTCTGACCAGAAAATATCAAGTGCAAATATCACGATAAAAGCAATGATTAATTCTGTTATTTCACAATATGCAATTGAGACTATACTAAACACAACTTCTGGAATTACTTTTTGTGTTATGTACTCATTCAAGCAATCATCTTGCAGAATTTTTTTTATTAATTTCAATGACAAGGCAAATACAAAAGTGCAAACAAACAATAAAAAATGAACGTAAATGTAACCAAAGTCACTGCTTCAAAAGTTCTCTAGCATGCCAGTAAAGTGCTGTTTCAGAGTTGCCAAGAAGTGACGCATATCGACGAAGGTTGTCTCTATTCATTAGATCTGCCGAACTTCAGAAAGGATAGCCAGGGTTAAAATTCCAATGTAATAGAGGTGCTCTTACAAGCAACTATTTCAGGAGCCAAAATTGGGAAACAACTTCCCGCCATGGGCTGCTGGGGATCCTATCTTGAATTTGCAGTTTAAAAGTTTTTTTTACATTATTTGCTTGATATAAAGCCTGATAGAATTGAAAGATAATGTCAAAAAATTCATTTGCAATAGTCTCACGCCCTTTTCTGCGGGCCAATTGACCTGCTCATTCCCAAAAATGCCACATTGGAGAAAGCAATGTCAAGCGAATAACACCAAGCAAATCTGTTCCACTTCCTAAGAGTAATAATCAAGCAAATATATTCCATGTCTACAGTAAAGAATGGATTCACTTGATGTATAGTCCGTAACACCAAGCAAATCTGTTCCACTTCCTAAGAGTAATAATTAAGCACATATATTCCATGTCTACAGTAAAGAATGGATTCACTTGATGTACAGAACATTTTTTTTTAAAGTTTATAACTATTTCTCAATATGCACAGTAAAACCTGAGTTACTACAAGACTCTTATAAATTTGTGACTACAGAATTAAAACAGCTCTTATATTAGTGTGCAACCTGATAGTTGCCATTATCTCTTGCTGTACAGAGACTGAGTGAAATGGTTTCAGAATTGAAATTTTTTTTTTCACCCTTAGTCCAAACAACCAATAGAACATTTTTTAAAGAATAATTTCTCTCAAATCTATACTTTTTTCTCCATTCCATTACTTCATTTCTTATGAGTATGTTCTAAATGTCATCTGACGAAATAAGGCCAAGATGTAATCAAATAACATGCAAAATCAAAACACCTGAAAACAGAGTGGCTTCCAAATTTACACCCGCAAAACCAAAGAAGTCATGAACGAAGGAAGGTGGCTATGGAAAAGTATGATAGAAGTTGCAGAAGCAAAATATTTCTTCCGAAGATATTCTTGATGTTGTTGTGGTCAAAGACAGGAAGTTGAATAATGATAGAATTAATGCACAAAGATTGAGAAAGTTTCAATGAAGATGTAGTCACAGCACTTATATTAATCATTTTTAGTTAGGTATAATTTTGTAAAATAAGGAATACAATAAACAAATGCAAGTTGTTTCTACATCTGTCACAGACTACATGCTTGCCAGGAGAGCAAGTTTGGCAAAGATTTTTCCCTCCTGTTTTAATTACTTAACCCCTTCGCGCCGTGTAGCGGAAACGCACGCTTATCGCGGAGGCCGCCAGTGTCTTACGCGAGCGTCTGTCCAGGGCGGGGGCTTTTTTGCTATTAAGCCTAAATCCATGAAATTTCCGAAGTATCAACGCATTGTTTTAATAATGCTCTATAGAGTATTTAAACGGCTTATGCTTTATAATATTTTTATACTATATACTTTAATTACCTTATTTCTTGTTTAAATGCATATTTTACACATTTTATTTTCAGTATTCATCTTTTTATGACTTTTAACATTATACATCTGAAAACTAAATATATTACTTAAAATTCTCTTTTCGTATGAAAAATTTGAAAACAGGGATCTACACACAGTCTTACGTTACATTCCTTACACTTGTAATAACTCATTTGCCGTTTTGGAGGATTTTTCCGGGATGGATTTGAACAAAAACGAAGCATCGTTCGTCTCATTTTCTTATCAGTCTCTTCTGAACAAAGTTTTGGAAAATGTCTTTCAGTTAATCTTTCAGAATCAATATCAGAAAATATCAGAATCAGAATCAATATCTGAAATATTTTGCATCATTTCTGCTATTTCATGCTCTGTTAAGCATTTTTTCGACGACACTTCGACATTGCAACGGTAAAAACAGAAAGAATTCACGTCTAACAAGATCTAATTATTTTCTAAAAAACTGAACTGCAAACCGAAATACCCAACGCTTTAGGGCAAATAAATAAAACTTCTCTACTTACAAATAAACAACTACCATGTGCGAATAAAGTGCGATTTAAAGAGGATGTCATAAATCACGCCATTCGGAAACATTTATTTCCCCTTTTGTTTATATAATCAAAAAGACGTGTATGTGAGTCATGCTTCTCTCATTTCGAGTAGAAGGTCTAATGTACATGTATCTGAAACCATATGGACATACAGTGCCATCTTGTGGCAGAAATTATAGTTTTTAAAACGTTCCAAGACACTGGCACAAATACATGACAGTTGGCGCTGAGCGGGAAAACGCTCTTTGGAACCACCACTACATTTTACAGAGATTATTTTTCAGTTGCTCAATAGAAATATTAAAATTATATATTTTGCCATTTCCACAACCTAATGGCTATTTGTATTAACCTTCCAGCATGTGTGGTTGGGAATTTTACATGAGCACGAGCACATTATATTTTTTTCGACATCTGTTATTTTACCGTTTTTTGGCACGAAAAATGACAGAAATGAGTGAATAGTGATAATAAATTTGTTAAAACATAAAATATTACTGCAAAATACAAATGATGTCACATTTAAATGATAGTAAATTATTTTTAAATATTCAAATCAGTCAGGTGGAAAAGCAATGATGTATTTCATTATAAAAATTTAAAAATTTATTATTTAACTGTATCGTAAAATCCAAGCTAGTTTTAATATTCAAC